AACACTTTTGCTTTCGCACAGAAAAACCTGGAAAAATCAGCTGAAGGACGCAAAGCGTACTACGACCAAAAGGCCTCTCACGAGGAACTCCAAGTGGGAGACAGGGTCTGGTACTACATGTTTGCACCCAAAACTGGGAGAAGAGAGTCCGGGACCGGAACTCTCGCCCGTAAGCTGATGCCCAGATGGACTGGACCCCATCTGATAATCGACAAAGTGTCTCCAATTATCTACCAGATAAAAATCAGTAAAGGCCAAAAAGAACCAACTGTTAAATGGGTACATCGAAACCAGGTTAAACAACACAAGGCGTGCAATATCTCCTCAGGAGACAAAGATCTCACAAAATCTGACCTCGTGGGAATAAGGGTCATCCAAGCAGAAGATAACTAATGGATAAGAAACTTAACCATAGTTTAAATTCACAGGACCTACCCTTGACCATTACGAAGCTAAGACCTATCTCTTTGTGTTTCCATAGGACAATGATGATACCACTACTGGTAATCTTCACCCTCTTGGGTGCCACCCAAGAAATCAAAGCCCTCGTAATAGCGGTAAATGAGTTAGCCCTTAAGGTTGAAGCGGATTACGCTGTCGCACACCTAATGGATAGGATTTTTGCTGACATGCTTAGAGATATCAGTTCGTCGGTAGATACACTAGCCACCGGTAGGATCCCACCGTATCTAGTCTCTCTACAGATGGTGAACGACATCCTCAGCTCCGCTACGCACGAAAAAGTTACGCAAACACAGGCACACCTGGCTTACACTCTCGGTAGCGCAATCCCAATCTACGTCAATCACAAAACATTTGAAATGGCGTTCATTATCAACCTACCGATAATTCCCTCAAACGGCATATATAGACTCAGGGACGTCGTAAATGTTGGCAATTGGCACGGCGAAAACCATGTTCAAATTGACACACCAAGGATGGTTGCGTACCACGACGACAACCCCTCAGTTTACCTAGCTCCAAACCTGCAGATGTGTGTTCTCACTTGGGAGATACACTATCTGTGCCCGAGCAAACCGTTTATGTGGAATAAAACCGCGGGCATATGCGGATTAACACCTATTCCGGAAAATTCTAAGTGCTCAACGACCGTAACGCCTCGACACCTGGCTAAAGATGCAAAAGCGGAAATAATTGGCTCTCGTTGGCTAGTGAACGCTCCTCAAAGAAAGGCGATCATAGCCTATGACCAACCCGGGGCAAATAGACCTTTGACGTTACCGGACAAAACGATGTGGATCAGTGTTCCCCAGGGAACAACCATACACATTGGTGATTTGACGCTCTATCACCTCGATCCGGAACGATGGGACGCGACTCTGGATGACTCAGAGTACCTGGGAAATATGTCTATAGACATAGATCCAGAGACTCTGGGAAGGATCCGTTTTGAAGGCACCCAAGTCGTCGACGTGAAACCAATAAACCGAGTTCTCAAGTCCCTCAGGTCCACAACTAAGAACCCGATCCAACCAATTACCTATGCGTGGTCAAGCGCGGACACATTAATCATAGCCCTGCTAATGACGATAACCCTCGTATTGTGTGGGATACTCGCATCCCTGTTCCGGGGCCAAACGTCACTCCGAGTCGACGTGGATCGCCATGCAGCGCACCTCGATATGATTATGCCTCGCGTAAGCGGGTCCGCAAAGAAGCCACTCACACGGGACAACGTGACTGAAACTGACAACCAGGGTGAGGAGAAGCAGTGAAACGATGTTTCTAGATGCTTAGTCACTACTCTTGTCGGTGTTGAAACGTTGTTTAGTTGATTTTGGTTGTTTCTGTGGTAAGAATGTATCTTGTGTGTAAGTTAAGTTAGAGACTAAGAGGCCTTTAACCATGCCAACATGAAGTTCATTCGCTAAATTGCAATCCTTGCGGAGTCAATGTATATTATTGTTACCTTAAGTACCATAATCTACATTGATCTCACATCGCTTAAGCCGAACCTACTCGAACAATTCTACTCAGGGGGGATAGCTAATTCTTTTTGATAAGTCTCGCCATAGACTTCCAAAACATTTATGGGGAAACCAAACACCCAATCTCAAGTCGTTCGTCTAAAAGACAACAGACATTTGAACCAAACTATATTTTGCCATGTAAAGCTAACTTAACCCAAGTTAGAAATGGAAAAGTAGTTTGGAACCCTTTTCTATAGGCTTAAACCCCTGTAGTTACCCCTTTTCAGCATGCTCCACCCCTTAACTGGTAGTTGTAGCTGTTCCCAACCATAATAGCTTACACACCAGGTGCATATAGTTTAAGGCCTTATGTAAAATCACCTTCATAAGCCCACCTTAAACCACATAATTGCATGACACATTTGAACCAGAACGACACAGGCTGGACGTCGCTGGAGACAACCTTCGCTGGAGGCGACCTGCAATCCTGACGTTGGTCTCCACTCTTCATCCAGTGGCCGCTTCTTCAGTTCAACCCAAGGGTACCCTTCTGTATGCTGATTAATCAACACTTCCAATCGTTGTGGATTTACCATTGTGGATTATATGACTTTTTCCAGTGGATTACAGACTCTGTTTTCAAGGGGTTAAAGCATTGCTACAATGGAATTATCGAGACGATATGGGATTATAATCAACACAATGGAATTACCAAGAACATTGTGGAATTACCTTGACTTTTGTTTTCCTTGCTGGATTACTTTTGACTTTTGTTTTCCTTGCTGGATTACTCTTGACTCTTGTTTCTTTGCTGGATTACGTCAAGCTTCAAGGACAATCGACGGCGTAAGTCCATAGTTGGAATTCATCCCCATGGACAGGTGATGATTTCCAAAGGGGGGACTGTAGTGGACTAGGCCCATGTCAAAAACTAAGTCTAAGGTCAAAAATCTTGACCTTAAGAACCTTGTGGGACAGGTACTGTCATTTCATTGATTTGAATCCAGAAATACAGGTTCACCCATCCTGAGACTTTCTCTCTTGAAGATTCAAGTGAAAAGAACACTCTCTGTTTTATTATCATTACTATTTTACAAATGTTGATAATCAAAGTGTCTTAGTTCAAACCATTTTAGATGTTGCAGTGAACTAATCAATTTTATTAACTGTGTAATGATTATTTTTCTCACGCAAAGTTAGAACTCATGTCAAAGCTGTTACAGAGTAATTATGCCTTTTCTGATTTCTGCTTTTGAATGAGCAAGTGTAAGTTGGTCCAAGGTTGGAGTCAAACGCAAAACAAGTTGTTGGCATGTTTTTAGAATCCTCTCAGACATAAATATAGAGGTTTTTGGCACCTGTTTCTGAAACGCGCCAAAACAAAACTCTCTCTGTCTGTGAGAACATTTCTGATCTTTTCATAACAATTCTTGCTGTCTTCTAACCTCCTACGTCACAAAACACACCCCGTCTGGTCGGTTCTGACCAATGGTAATACTCCCAAAAGTGAACCGGGAAACAGCTCTTTAAAATGTCAGTACTTCCTGGTTTACTCAGTTCTGGTTCTGGTAAGGTTCTGCTCGAGATCTGTAAACTACACAGTTCTGTTAGAAGTTCTGGAACAGTTCTGTTCAGTTCTGATGGAGACGGGATGATCCTGACATGACAACAGAGCTCTTCCGAGTTCCATGGGAATATAACACTTTCACTCGCCACTACTTCTGACGAGCTACAGCCATCCTAAGGAGACGCTGGACAGGTAGCGTTAACGGAACACCATATCTGCTGATTATCATCAGAAAGGTAATGGGTCAAGTTTCCTACCAAGCGTACCGAGGCGAGCTGGGTTTCTGATGGAGAGTGTCGGTTCTGGTGAACACTTACTTCCCTTCACACACCCTCTTACTCCCTCTTAACTTCTTTCATCTTTAAACTTTTCTCTCAAGTAGAAATTCTTCCAGATATTTTAGAAATGTCTGTGTAAAATGCTCACCCACATCCATGTGGGTAAAAGATCATAATTGTACAGTTTTCATAAATGTCTGTGGTGAAGCAACGGAAAAATCATGGCCGTATGATTTTTCCTGATTGATTGCTTATGTTGTTATTTTCATAATTTGCCAAATTAATGTAAATGTTTGATGTTAAATTTTGATTCTGTAAATAAATGACCGCATTCATTTTGATGGGTCAAACGTAAATGACGTCTCACGTTTGCATTTCCTTAAATTCAATGCACGTTTTATTCAGTCCAGAAAAATGAGGAATCCGCGTTAAATGATGAATATATCTGAGCATCTGTTCATCTACACACACACCTGCTCGAAAGCTACCGGTGCAGACGGTGTGCAGCTTATCCGTGTCTCCCACCTCGCTCTAAACTGTCGGTACAAGCGCAGCTTGGCTGTGTCTCTTAGTTCCAGAGTCCATGGAGCAAGAACAGAGTCAGATGATCAGAGACAGAGCATCAGAGAAATTAATCATTCCTGCAGGAACAGAGGAAGCTGAAACACCATAAGCTTCAGGGTCAGCTGAAGACACCTTGTCACAAGTTTTTGAAGTTATAGCTCATTTAAAGACAACATATATTTTGTTGTATGTTACATTTATGCTCAACAGATCTTAAGCTTTAATTTTAGAGTATTTACTGTAATTTCTGGACTATTGAGCGCACCCAAATATAAGCCGTGCCCACTAAATTTAAACACTAATAATAATTTTGTACATATCTAGGCTGCACTTGTGTATAAGCTGCAGGTGTCCATGTTGTAACATGAGACATTTGCACACAAAGATTTTAAAAACTTTTGATTAAAGACATATCGATAACGTACACAAATATGTACAGTAAATGTTTTTTTCTGAACAGTGCTAGTAACACAGCTGGTTAACATCTACAAGCTTGTAAAAAATATATATATTTTGTTTGTTTTTTTGCGGACTCCAGTTTGAGAATCACTGCTTTATCTAACTGTGTGTGTGTTGTAGTCTGAAGGCTGCCGGCTTCCCTTTGCGCTTGCTTCCTCGGTGTGTTCCGTCTGGGGGCCTGGCGGGTCGGACGTGTTCTGCCTGGCACAGTGTTCCTGCCGGTACGCCAGTAGCAGCCGCACTGGGAGACTTCCAGTGCTCCGTCTACTCCTGCATGAGTGCACCGACAGATGCAGGTGAAGCAGGAAGTCCTGGCATCACTTCCAGACCGGGCTTCCAGTTAATGCTGTCAGTGTATGAAATGTTTATTGACTGCCAGCTCAGACCGCTGATGTAACGATTTAATGATGGAACAGAGCTGATAAACAATAAGAAGCACTAAATTATAAAGTCTCTAAATCTAAACTCCTCAGCTGTTGAAGCTTATATCTTTTTATTCTCCAGTTCTTAACATCAGCACGTCAGCCCAGCTGACCCACTCCATGCCCGCTGACTTCACACCTCCAGATTCTCCTCATCTTGAGTCGTCCGTTTCTTACTTTCCCTACTTCGACTCCTCGTACTTGGCAGTGGCTGCGTCGCTCAATGGAGGGAATGTGCTCGCCACGTTTGCAGAGACGTTGAAGTCTTGGATGAGAGAGCTCGGTGTGTATTTAAAACTGTTTTTATCTGAACATCGGATAATAATTTGACTGTTATTCTTCTCCCGCAAATCTGGAAAACCCCATAAAACATCCGACTCTACCAGGAATATTGTCAGAGAGTCAGAGTCAGAGTTTCTTTATTGTCATTCGCACCTCATGTGGTACATGTGGTGGAGCGAAATTATGTACGCAGGGTCCCAGTTACATCCAACAATAAAATGTATAAGAAAAACAGTAATAAGATCTAAGATATGAACTAAGAAAAACATCAACTAAATATACACTAAGCACTCATAACATAAAACATTGAACATCAGCACAAACATGAACATGAGTCTGTGAGCAGATGTGCACGCATGAACACATCAACATTGAAACAGATCAGCAGCAACATGAAACAGATCAGCAGCAACATGATATGGTTTTTCACAGTGATTATTCTAGTTAGAGATTCATGAGTCTAACAGCCTCAGGGTAGAAGCTGTTCCTCAGTCTAGTGGTTCTACACTTAATGCTCCTTAACCTCCTTCCTGAGGGGAGTGGGGCAAAAAGTGTGTGTGCTGGGTGGGTGGGGTCCTTCATGATGCAGGTGGCCCTCTTCCTGCATCTGGAGGTGTAGATGTCTGTGATGGTGGGGAGACTGATTCCAACAGATTTCTGTGCAGCCTTCACCACTCTCTGCAAAGCTTTTCTTTCTGCAGCTGTGCAGCCTCCATGCCACACATTGATGCTCGAGCACAGGATGCTCTCCACTGCACACCTGTAGAAGGAGGTGAGGACTGAGCTTCCCAGACCAGCTCGCCTCAGCCGTCTGAGGAAGTAGAGTCTCTGATGAGCTTTCTTGATCAGGCTGGTGGTGTTGTTGCTCCAGCTGAGGTTGTCATTCATGTGTACACCCAAGTACTTGTAGCTGGAGACCACTTCCACCGCAGATCCTCTTATGTTCAGGGGGGTGTAGGTGTTTTTGTTCCTTCTGAAGTCCACAATCATCTCCTTTGTCTTCTTCACATTGATGTGAAGGTTATTCTCTCTGCACCAGCTCTCCAGGTGTTCCACCTCTTGCCTGTAGCTGGACTCATCATTGTTTGTGATGCATCCCACCACCGCTGTATCATCTGCAAACTTTACAATGTGACAGCCTGGATGGGTAGCTGCACAATCATATGTGAGCAGAGTAAACAGGAGGGGGCTCAACACACATCCCTGAGGAGAGCCAGTGCTGAGGGTTATGGTGGAGGAGGAGAGGTTGTGGATCCTCACTAACTGTGGTCTGTTTGTTAAAAAGTCTAGTACCCAGTTGCAGATGGAGGGGCTTAGTCCTAGTGTGGATAGTTTGTCCATCAGGGTTTGGGGGATCATGGTGTTGAAGGCGGATGTGAAGTCCACAAAGAGCATACGGACGTAAGAGTTTTTCTGCTCCAGGTGGTTGAGTGCAGTGTGGACCACAGAGGAGATTGCATCCTCTGTTGATCGGTTCTCACGGTATGCGTACTGATGAGGGTCCTCGTTGATGTTGATGGTTGTTTTGATGTGGGTCATGACCAGTTTTTCGAAGCATTTAGCGACTATCGGGGTGAGGGCCACTGGCCGATAGTCATTCAGACCAGTCACTGTAGAGCTTTTTGGGACTGGGATGATGGTGGCAGTCTTCAGGCAGGTGGGAACTGTCTCCAGGGTAAGTGAGGTGTTAAAGATGTCTGCCAGCACCTCACAGAGCTGATCAGCACATTCCTTCAACACTTTTCCGGGGATGTTGTCTGGGCCAGTTGCTTTGTGCGGATTAATCCTCCTGAAGGTACTCCTTACTTCTGCTGAGGTCACGCTGAGATGCTCTTCATCCGGTGGCGAGGTGAGTCTGGTGCTGGGTGGTCTGTTCGGGTCTTCAAAGCGTGCATAGAACTTGTTGAGGGCATCAGGCAGAGATGGGTCTTTGGGACATTGTTCGCTCCTTCCTTTATAATCTGTTATGCACTTAATGCCACTCCACATGCTCCGAGGGTCTTGTGAGATGAATTGACCCTCGATCCTCTTTGCATATGCGGCCTTGGCCCTCTTAATACCAGCAACCAGCTCTTTTCTTGTCCTACTCAGCTCCTCTGAGTTTCCAGACCTGAAGGCAGTGTTCCTGGCTTCCAGCAGGGTACGCACCTCTGCATTCAGCCAAGGTTTTCTGTTTGGGTAGCTTTTAACATTTCTGATAGTGGAGACTGTGTCAGTACATGTACTAATGTAACCCAGTACTGAGGATGTGTATTGGTCAAGATCAAGCGAACCTCCATTTTCAGCAGCTTCTCTGAAAACCTGCCAGTCTGTTCGATCAAAACAATCTCTCAGTATGGGGCCACTGTCCTGGCTCCAACATTTAACTTTCTTTTGTACCGGTCTGGAGCGTCTCAGCGGGGGCATGTAAGCAGGAGCCAGGAAGATTGAGATGTGGTCTGACAGTCCTAGGTGGGGGCGGGGTTCGGCTTTGTATGCATCTTTTACGTTCGTGTAAACACGGTCATATTGTGCTTTGACTTTTAGTTGCAGCACATCGATCAGTGTAGATAAAAACACAAAAAAATGCTAAAAGTATTCACATACAAAATGAAGTGAATCTGGCAAAACAAATGTAAAAACCCAGCTCTCTTTAGAGCAGATGTGCTTTACAGAACAAACATAATTTAGAGTTTAAAGGGTTCAACGGTTTTCTTTTTTCCTCCCATCTCTTTTGTGCCTGCTGTGCTTGTGCAGCGAAAACAGCTGCAATTTGACTCAAAAATGGCACAAATTGCTTACACCTGCTGAATTTGACAGATGTGTTCGCGCTGGCAAACAACTCATGCCATTTACTTTATGAATCTGACACCGAGCAGAATGTGGGCGCATGTGATGTGCAGAATATGTCACAAAAACCAGATCGCAGCACATTTTTAGTAAATCCACTTTAGAGTTTTTCACGATTACCTTGTTTGTTTTTTCTTAGATTTGACACTCAGAGCCACTGTAATACAAACATCATCCAAAATGGCTCCTGATAGACTGATTCACTTAATCTCTCAGCAACAAGTCTTTTATAATTAATTATGTATAAGCACTTAAATATTTAGAACACATATATTTATGATGGTCTTTCAATTGTGAGTCCAGTTTTACCATCATCAAGATTTTGAACTGGACTTCTTACGCAGGGCTTATTCTGAGCTGGACCCTGCCGGAACAGGATCTGGGAAGGCTCTTATTTTGACAGGGTGCATTCCGGTAACTGTTTGCTTGGATCTGATAACTTTCAGGCTTACTAATAATAAAGTTATGAACAAAGATTACTGCCTGGAACAATTAAAACCTATATTGGATATGTAAACTAAAAAATAATTACATAAACACTAATTTTAAACATAACAGCCACTTACGAGCTTCCTAATGTCACACAAGAGCTGCTCCTTCAAGTAAGCATTTCCGCTTCTACCCTTAAAAAATCTCTGCCCCTAAAAGTTCAGTCATGGGCGATTCAGTTATAAACACAAAACATAATTATACAACACAACTAAATTGCACATCAGTTTAAGTGAGTCATTAATAAAATTTTGATTGTTTATTAAAAATATGAGAGAAATGTTTGGCAGGTATTCATGTTACGTAGGCTATGTCACGTTTCAAAACAAAGGCGCCAGTTTGTCAAAATAACAGCGATCAAAATGTCAACAAGACAGTCCAATTTACTTTTATTAAAAAAAAAGTAAATGGACTGTACTTATATAGCGCTTTTCTATCTTATTTCATGATACTCAAAGCACTTTACACTACATTTACCCATCCACACAGCACTCTACTAGATCTCTACAAAGCTAATTGAACAAATCATTCTAATGAGACTAATCAGGGCTTTAGATCACATTCATACACCGATGGGACACACATCAGAGGCTATGAGGGGTTCAGTGTCTTGCCCAGGGACACTTCGGCATGTGACTGCTGGTTGATTCGAAACCCCATCTCTTGCATTGGAGGACGACTTCTCTAACCACTCAGCCACAGCCGCCCCAGTCTTCTCATTGAACAACTAAACAATCGAGAATTGAAGCACATGAAGGCAGTGGCAGTGGAGATAGTACTGGTGCAGGTGCGAGTGGTGTGGGCGAGTGCCGAGCTAACCAGGCTGTCGTACCCGGGCAGGAACCCACAGCCAGCCTCCATGAGCAGACGGAGGAGGAGCAAGAGTCAGGCTCAGAACCTTCAAGTGAGGGATGCCCAACAATCTGGACAACTGCCCAGTTCAAGGCCAAGCAGACCTACTATTCATGGCTTGTAATGGAAAAATCAGGTTTGGGTCAACTGGGTGGGGGGTGATGTTGTGTGCTTGTGAGAAGTGGCGCATGTTCTATTCACACAAGGAGAGCTGTTGATTAGGCTACTTTTTGTTGCTCTCTAAAACACACCAGAATGCAGGAAATGACATCTACTTTAATAAAAAATGTCTGCGGGAGGACACCCAGAGACACACACACCCATCTGCTCCGGCATAGTTTGGTTTACAAATTGAGCACTGCTCTTATATATTGATTAGTATCTGCAAACAATCCAGATCAATCTGCAGCTGAGAAACATTCCAGGAATTAAAACAGCTGATACTTAATGCAGGAATAATTTATGACCGTTACTCTGAGTGAAATGTTTTTTGTATTTTCTTCCTTGGTTCTTCCAGGTGTGGAGCTGACAGACTCGTGTTTGTATGAGAAATTGATCACCTGCGCCCTGAAGCAGGAAACCAGTGACCTGAGGGTGAGTCCCACCATCTTGGGGGAGAGGCATGCCCCTCTGAGCCTGGGTCAGGTGACCAACATCTCCACCTCCAATCTCTCCCTGGGTCACATGTTCAGGGCGCTCTGCTGTGGCGTCCTGACAAACATCTCCTCCATGATGCCCGCTGAGCGTCTGCAGCAGGCGGGGGTCCTCAGGATCGTGGGAAGCGGGAGCGCCCTTGCTCGCAATCAGGTGCTCCGGCAGGAAGTGGAGAAGGTGTTCCCTCTGCAGGTGGTGTACGGACAGAACGCAGACTCTGCAGCCGGCGTGGCCATGGTTGTCTACGACAGGCTTTGAACAAGAGTTTTATCGACCTGGAGGATCCCTGTTTGTTTGTTTACAGAATTAACTGAGATTTTTTCACAAATCTGAAAACAATTTGTTAAATTAATTTTTTTTGCTGTAAAGATGAACAGATTTTGCCTAATGAAGCAGACGCTGTGATTTCCAGGAGAAACCTCTGAAAGGTTTTGCCAGAAAATCTTTCAATTCATTAAAAAAAGAGCAAGAACATTCATCAGAATGAGAGCAAATCTCAAGACCTAAAAACATATTTTCTGATTGTACTCCACATTTTCTTGCCTTGTTAACAAATAACTGCAACGTGTTCATGTTGATTTTTGTACAAAATAAAACTTGAAGCGAGCCACAGGTGTTACTGTGAGCTGCTGCTCAGGTTTTGACTGAAACAATTTTTTAACAGAAAGTTCTCGTTCTCTGCTTCCTGATCAATAAACTAATTTAACTCTCTTGTTTTCATTACTTTCACCTTGAAAGAGAAGAGATGAAAGAGTAAACTGTATTTCCTGCTTCTAGTTCAGACTGCATCACTGTTTCCTTTTCTTTATGTTAGGTTGTTAAAAATATATATTATTATTTATTAAAACTAAGTCAGACTTCCTGCTCTCCAGCCTGAATCAGTTTTGAATTTTAATTTTCATATCTAAAGACAAGTTCACAAAAACCACATTCCCCCACAACAACAACAAAGACAAAATGGAAAAACTGTGAATAAAATTATAAGTCCACCCTGACTGCTTCCAGAAGATTTTAGAGGTTCAGTATCAGCCAGGAGCTGCTGATCAAATGTATTGATTATCTGATCATTCAACCTTTATTTATACAGGTTAGTCTCACTGAGCCACTCATTTACAAGAGAGACCTGATTTAAACAAAGAGTGATGATGACAACAACAGATAATCATAAAAGAAGGTATATAAATTGAAAAAAAATAATGGAAGAAATGAAATTTAAAAAATTAAACAAAAATGGCTAGATTATAAGGCGGTGTAGAAAACTAAAAACAGGAACATGTTTGCATTGGTTCTTGCCAGGAACAGCAGATGTTTAAAGCCACTTAGAGGTCAAGGTCGAGAGCTTCAGACCTTTTTGCAAGATATTCCAGGAAACAGGAGCGGAGTAGGAGAAGGTCCTTTTGTCTAGTTCAGTCCTCACTGAAGGAACACTGCAGGTAATAATGTCCTGAGAGCGCACGTTGTAGCTGCACTCACGCAGAGACATGTTAGAGGAGATGTATGACGGGAGCAGACCAAGAAGTGATTTAAAGATGAAAACGTACCAGTGGGAGAATCTGTATGAAGTTAATGATTACCAGTTAACCAGTGAATACAGGGCGCCTCAAAATGGTGGGTACGGTAGTTACAGCCAGTTTGGAGCAGTGGGAAAACGTTGGTTACGTACTGTAACCCCAGATTCTATGAATATAGGCGTAGCCCTTTAAGGCTGTCGCTGATGGGTTTATCCCGTTATGCGCAAGCATCATACTGAAAAAATTAGTCCACGCCCACCTGCTGTGTGGGCCCCACCCGATCCGTATAAGTTACATTAAGAGCGGGTAATAGGCTCCCAAATAGCTTATTTTTTCTTCAGCTATTCAGGAGCCAGTGAGGCCCGACGCTTAAAGGGCTACGCCTATATTCATAGAATCTGGGGTTACAGTACGTAACCAACGTTCTATGTCATATAGGCTTCGCCCTTTAAGGCTGTCGCTGATGGGTTAAGGGCGAAGCGGATGTGGTCCTCGCCTCACTGGGTCCATTCGAACACAGTAAGAAGCGGAAGCTTGCCCAAAAAAACGTCTTGTCACTCAGCTCCCCGTGTGCATAACTACGCATCGCGTAATTATGTGCCATGCACAGACGCATGTTGTGTAACTATGCGTTCTGACAAAACATGAACGCCCCGGAAAAACTTTCAACGGGGAGAGGATGTTGAAAGATGGGGGGGGGGGGGGGGGGG